CCCCTTCCCCTTGAACCCCTTGCCCCCTGTCCCCTGTCCCCTGTTCCCTGTCCCCTCCACGTTTCACGCCGAAAAGAGAAGGGAAAAAAACGACAAGCATGCACTCCCCGTCATGCGAAGCTTAACAGTGCTTTTGCAGGGATTGGCGCACCCACCAGGAGAGGAGTTTGGACATTATGCACATTGACTACCGTCTTCACCCGAATATAACGTACTGTCATTTTCGCTGCATCTGGACTGACGGTTGGGGCAAATACAGACATAATGACCGTACGTTCTATTCGGGGGAAGACGGTAGCCTGAACAACAGCCAGACAAAGGACGTTTTGCTGCGTGGCACCAGCCTGAACAATACCCAGATGACAGAAGCAATGGCAATAGCAGATGGCGGCGAGGATAATGGATAGAACCGCGCATTAACGAAGAGAATCTGCTGAGCTGGAAGGGAAAAAAGAAGCGTGAATGTCCCTTTTATGATGACACGTGTCACAGCAGGCTACTCGGCAGCAGTCACTGCTGCTCATAGATTGGTAGTCGTCGCTTGACTGATCACACCACACCGCAGACCCCTGACGTCAGATGTTTGGACAGGTAAGAGAGGAACCACCAAGTCTCAAGTACCTGCACCAGTAGCAAGAGCGGTTGGAAGAACCATTGCGGACCAATTAGCGATCGGGACCGGGATTTCCTCTTGCAGACCAGCCCACCTGCTTGGTACCTGATGAAGCAGCACATAGATTTACGCTTGCAGATCAACCCACCTCCCCCTTTTACGCTGACCCCTTTTTTCCTCCTCCAGTACCGATTGATCGCTCTAGGCCATCCCTCTCAGATGGATAAGGTGCTTAACTTCTTTGGATAAGGTGCTAAACCTCTGTCCTCTCTGGACAAGGTATAGCAGCAGGTCGCCCTGGTAGTGAGTGAGTGTATCAGAGAAGGCAGCATGGAGTCCCACGGTAGCCCTCTTGGCTACGCTACCAGCGAGTTGCAGGGGAATGGGAGAAGATGTTAGGTATGGATGTCATGGAGCAGCGCCCTGCAGGGGAATGGAAAAGGATGGCAGCAATGGCTGCCATAGAGCCACGCCCTGTGCAGGGAAAAGGAAGGAGCCAGCTATGGCTGCCAGAGTTAGGAGGGAGAAATGATACAAGCTGCCGTTTCAGGCAGGCAGGCAGGCCACTGGAGGGCAGGGACAGACTGTAGCAGGACAAATGACAGATGGCTGCTATGGCTGTGAACTCTGCGACAAGCTAAGGTTGCGTGTCTTTCGTAGACTCCTGTGTGTGTGTGTGTGTGTGTGTGTGTGTGTGTGTGTGTGTGTGTGTGTGTGTGTGTGTGTGAGAGAGAGAGAGAGAGAGAGAGAGAGAGAGA